CGTAGGAAAAGTTTCATGGAGGTAGCAGCAAGATATCCACGCGGAGACGCCAAGAAGCCAGCCAGTTAGGTGTGTGGATCTGGGACTCACAGTCCTGAGCTGCTGGATGGTATTTCACATTATAGAACTGGAAGGAGCTGCCTGAGAGGAGCTCATACAGGGCAGGTTCCACCACCTTTGCAGACCCAGTTTTTTGGGGGAGGGGTTTGCAGTTTTTGGCCAGGGTGGGTTTGAACCCACCACCTCCAGCCTATGGTGCCAGAGCCCTACTCCTTTGAGCCACAGGCACCGCCCTGCTGGCCCAGTTTTGACTCAGCAGGACAGGTATTTCATAACCGCCCTTTTACCATCCTGAAATAAAGTTCATAGATCCAATGACCAGCCTACACACATAACTTCAGAAAGAAATCACCTAAGACCATGAGGATACAATCAGAAAGAAAGGGAGGGCCTTGGGGCCCCCAAACGGCTCCAGACTGGGGTGTCTCACACTGAGCATGCATAGGAGTCAGGAGCTTCCCGTTACAATCTGGATTCTGGATCAGCCGGTTGGAGTGGGCCAGCCTCCTGCATTTCTGGCAAGTTCCCAGGTGATATCCATGTTGCTGTTCTGTGTCCCATCCTCAGAGTAAGGAGGGCCTGGAAGACACAGTGAGGAAGTCAGATGTGAGCCCCCATCGGGAGACGTACCCCAAACAAGTTAGCAATGAATGCAGATCAGTCTGGGTGGGCTGAATGGGACCTCCAGTAGCAGGAATAGCGGGGCCAAAGGCGACTTTGTTTTCTAAAACAGCAAATAACTCCCATTAAGATTCCAAATAAGGCTCAGCACCTGTGGCTCAAGTGGCTAAGGTGCCAGCCACATACACCTAAGGTGGCAGGTTCAAATCCAGCCCAGGCTCACCAAACAACAATGATGGCTGCAACCAAAAAAAATAGCCAGGCAGGCGCCTGTGGTCCCAGCTACTTGGGAGGCTGAGGCAGGAGACTCGATTGAGCCCAGGAGTTGGAGGTTGCTGTGAGCTGTGATGCCACAGCACTCTACCCAGGGTGACAGCTTGAGGTTCTGTCTCAAAAAAAAAAAAAAAAAAAAAAAGATTCCAAATAAAATACAGCTTCTCTTGGTTAGATAAGCTTCATTTCAGTGCGAGCTAAACAGTGTAAAACAGAGGTAAGTTCCAGCCTCAGAACATTGTAAAAAGGTTTTGAACTAAGGACACTTTTGCCATCCATCACCAAGGGACAATTGACAATGTCTAGAGAGATTTGGGGTTGTCACCACTGGGAGGTAAGGGGTTGCTTCTGGAATCTGGAGGGTAGAGGCTAAGGATTCTGCTAAACATCCTACAGTGTACAGGATGGTCTCCCTCAACCGAGAATGATCTGGCTCAAAATATTAATAGTGGTGATTCTGAGAAGACATGGCCTGCAGAGAGATTTTCAGAATGGTTCAGGATGAAGAAAGGTACCACCTGGTATAAAACCATCCCACACATGTACCAGGTGCCTCACCCTCCCAGGCCCCATCCTTATAGCAACCCCCAAAACACACACTCTGAGGACCATGGTGTACCCTAAGAGCAGCAACAGAGAAAAGAGGAGGGCAGGCAGGGCCCGCTGTGGCCAGGGGGCCAGGAAGAGCCAACCCAAATCTTTTGCCAGGGGATTAAAATCTCTGGCACGGCCAACTTAGAGTGTATATAATCCCACCCGTCTGCTGGTAGCTCTGTAATTAATACAAAAATAATTACATCTTTTCGCCTGGCTCTCCTTCACAAACTCTACTTAATGAACATCGCCAATGACTTTTTAGATATGTAATTAAAATTTTTATTTATTTCTGTTTTCTTTCTATAGTAGTCGCTCAACACACCACACACACACAGACGTAACGGCAAAGCTGGGTCTCTCCCTTCCTTCATTTTCGAGTTTTAATTATCTGTCAGGATCTCATCTTTAGGCACCGAGGAAAATCATGTTTTTGTTCCTCCCTTAAGAGAAAGAATAATTTCCTTTAATAGCATGTTGCCCCAAAGTGGCCCGAGATTCAGGTATTCTCTCTAGCATTCTCCCAAGAAAAGAACACCGACCTTCTGAAGAACCTGCCACTTCTGTCAATCGTTGTGGGGTCCCAGATAGAAACAGCCTCACAGCCAGGTTTTAAGAGTAACTGTACTCAGATACTCTTGGGGAAATGCCTCTAAATTATGAATAATGGCCATGTTTAATACTTTAAAACATTACCAAACCATTACAGGCCATAGAAGAAACCACAGTTTAAGAGACCAGAATGACTGCAAACCTTCTGGTTTCACTTCTCTGTTTTCTAGGCTGGAAAAGGTAGTCACTATGACCTCCCGCACTACGTCACGGCAAAGCTGACAGGAGGTGCACCGTGAATTTAACACGGATAGCAGAGCATACACACTCAGAACATGTCAGATTGTCACTACAACAAAATCCTTTCATGCTGAGGCCCTAAAAAGCCAAATCACCTCAGCAAAGAATCACAGAAAGTCAGTAATAAAATGAGGACGGAGCTCTGAAGACCTGAACCACTTCCTTTGTTTTTGCCCATGAATCTGTACGAAGGTTGCTTTTGCAGAAAACAGCACCTAAGTGTATTTGTCTTTTGTAGGGAAGGGGTTACCTAACAAATCTGGCAAGCACTGGGTTAAGGTGGACAGTTAAGGTGGACTGTGTGTTTGGGTTAGTTTAGACAGCAGCATTTCTCAGCGTCCTTAACATGCTAATACATACTGTGAACTTCCAGGAAGGGAACTATGCCTTAAGAGAAACTCAGCTAGAAAAGCCTGATAGTCAAATCTAAAGCCACTTCATGGAAGTGATAAGTCAAACAAGGTTCTATAAAATTGGTATCACTTTCCTATGGTGATCAAGGAGAAAGGTAAGGTGCCCTAGAGTACCCGTGTGCAAACCACACCCGCAGCCAGGACTTCCCTCTGTCTCAGAATCACAGGGCTGCAGTTTCTGGCCTTTCCTCTCTTTCTCTTTTTTTGACCCCTCTGCCTTCTTCTAAAGACATGACCATCCTACTTCCAGTTTCTTTTTTTTTTTTGCAGTTTTTGGCTGGGGCCGGGTTTGAACCTGCCACCTCCAGTATATAGGGCTGGTATCCTACTCCTTTGAGCCACAGGCACCACCCTCTACTTCCAGTTTCTAAATCTGCCAGGGATGTCCCAACCGCGTCAAAGCAAAGACTACCAGGGACCCTTTTTCTCTCAAGTGCAGACCTAATGTCAAAAAGAAACGGTGTCCTCCACTAGTGGCGACCTCAGAGTTCATCTGCCACCGAGGCAGGCTGAGCTGAGCTCAGAAGCTCCAGAGTGGGAAGGCCCACAGGTCAAGACATTCTCTACTTGCTGTTAGATGAGTGACCTTGGTCAAGTCCCTGATCTCTATGAAATGTTTTTCTCTCTCATTTTTAAAATGTTTCCTGAGTTATTGGTAATGTGTGTCCAGTGACTAGAATTTGGTAGGTATCAGAACGGGCTGCTAGTAGAGTGGTCGTGCTATTCCTTACCAAGGGATTGTTTAAAACGTCTATTATGATTATCTCGTGTGCGACTTCTGTACACACATCAAGCGTTATAATAATTTATCTTTCTTCTACTAAAACTTGGAAGCTTTCTCTTTCTAAAAACACTAATTATACTGAAGTTCAAGGTGGTTTTTCTCATTGAAATGAACACTACTGCTAAATAACAAGTGGTAAACAAGCGACTCCAGGTCAGATTGGGCTGATGGGAATTACACGCTTCCCACGTAGGAACCCAAATGCCAAAGTTTGGGGGGGGGAACTCACCTGGGGAATTTTAAGCAGCGCTTCCTCCCAACAAAAATGTGACAGGAATTCCACACTTAGGCATTTTAAGCCTCTTAAAATATGCCCGCATATGGAAACGCTTTAAGCACAGAGATATTCATCAGAGTGTTTTATATTATTGAATAAAATTGAAAGCAAATTAAATGTCCGATATCGCAAGAAGGGTTAAGCACGGTGATTGCGTATGTGATAGAACTCACAAAGCTGTTTCCAGCGATGCTTTCCGGTGAAAAAATACAGACAGGTGTATCAGACAGCCAGTAACCTACAACAAAGTAAACCCAAGAAAATCCGAGGGAAGAGAAAAAACCAGAAGGAAATACAGCAGAACGTGAATGGGAGCTTTTTCTGGGCAGTGGGGCCAGAGGTTAATTTCTTTTGTTATTTTTTTCAAAACACTTTCTAATGAAAAAAACACAGTATATGGTTTTAGTTTAAATTGTGGTAAAATACACATCACATAACATAGATCAGTTTAACCATTTTTAAGTGCACCATTCAGTAGTTGTTAAATACACTCACACTGTTATACGCCCCAAACTAACAGCCATCTCTAGAATTGGGTATCTTACAAAACCGAACCGCTGTACCCATCAAACAAGAATTCACTCACCTCCCGTCAAGCCCTGGCAATCACTATTCCTCCGTTTCTATGTGTTTGACTAGATACCTGATGCAGGTGAACTCACAGGAGATTTCTCTTTTCGTCACGGGCTTCTTTTCACTTACCTTAATGTCCTCACGGTTCGCCCAGGTTATACCATGTTTCATAATTTCTTTCTTCTTTAAGGCTGAGTTTTCTATTGCATGTAAATATTGGTTTATCCAGTCATCCATCAGTGGCCCCTGGGGTTGCTTTTTTGCCTTTTGGCTAACATGAATAATATTGATATGAACACAGGTATACAAACACCTCTTACACTTATTATATTTTAAATGTTCTATTAATCCCCTACACTGGCTCTTCTTTCTTACTTCCCATCGTTGGATTAATTATATCAGACCCTAGACTAGGTTTAACTACGACTCTACCAGAACGTGAGTACAAATCTGTGGTACGGCTGGGCAATCTGACTACCCCGGGGAAATGATCACCTGGGCTACACCTCAGAAAATAATGCGTCTTTTTCTGTTGTTCTGATTCCCGTTACAGGACAAATGCCTTAGTTTCAACTTTCCAGCCTGGATGCCCCTCACTCTGCACCACCCTGCTTCTGACATTGAACTCACTGAACAAGTCCTGACACCCTGGCTCCAAGAAGACCCGCCAAAAAAAAAAAAAAAAAAAATCACCCCAGCCATTTCTCTTCATCCTCACTAACGATTTGGTAATGAAGTATTGATTTCCACTTCTCTGCTTACGGATGATATTAGATTTTCATTGATAAACTGCAATGGGGCTGTCTTCTCTCCGCTGTCCCCTTTTCACTGTCACAAGGAAACAAAGTGCCACCGAGGAAAAATAATGACTGAGAACACTGCTGTACTTATTTCCTCTGTTTGTAACAGGAAGGGGTGGGGAGTCAAGTCTTCATAGCTTCATGTCCAAGTGGGCTGCACTCAGGGTGGACGCTTGGAAGCTTACTTTTCATGGTAATGTCCGTTTCCTATTTATAAGCCCCCTGGGAACGTTTGTCTAAAGGAAATGTTTCTGTTCAGTGTAACAATTACGGTTGCACCTGGATTGCCCAGTCCTGCCCCTGCACTAGGGAGCCATTAATCCCTGCAAAGTGGAAGAATCATTAAGTTAAACCAGAGTTTGAGCCAAGACAACCTCTGAACACTGTTCATCTTCTGTGAAAGTTCTTCACAGAGTTAGGCTTAACCATGTTGCTGCCAAAGACTTTCTCTCCTGCAGTGGGGAGCATTTTATCAGCGTGGTTATCTTGATTGGTTAAAAAAAAAAAAGGTCTTAAGCTTGCATGGCTGTCCTAGGAGGCCTGCAAATGGGGGAATTGGTGAGATGCAGAATCTGGGAGAAAGCAAGACGGGATCACTGCAGGGTGGAAAGTTCAGCAGCAGGCTTCTCCGGTCATCTCTTTCCGTAGGACCAGTTGTTTATGGGATCTGAAATACAGCCTCGGTTTAGAAGCAACAGAAAGCATGAAATGGGGTGTCCGTTTTAAATGTGTTCTTGCAACTTTTTTCATTAAAACTTTGAGGGCCCAATTTTAATTTGTGGAATATTCCCGTTAATAATGAGATCTAATTAAGACATCCATTAAAAGCCCGTTAAAGTTAATTTAACGTAAAAATTCCAATAGAACTGTATTAGATTTTCTCCATTAAATTAACGTTATGGATTTTTAACGGATGTCTTAATTATACGTTATTATTAACGGGAATACTGTATTACACAGATTAAAATCAGGTCCTAAGTCAACTTGAAAAAGCTAAGAGCATGGTTTAATATTAAAAGTCTTGCATACCTAGTGCCCAGTTTGAAAATAGAGGGGTAGACCTGTTGACTCCGGTCAAGCATTTTCTGTACAACTGAAAGCAACCTGTAACAGATAAATCCATCAATGCATTTAAACAATGAATTTCCTTATTCTCAAAGGACAAATAAGTCTGGATTATGTTGTAAATTGCTACTCAGCTATAGGTGAAATATTCATACTCTTCTAAGCGCAACATGAGGAACTAGATGACTCTGAAACAAAAGAAATATTTTGTGTTGTTGCTTTAATTACCAGGGTTGTGCAAAAAAAAAAAAAAATCTCAATGCTGACAGAATCTAGCCAGATAATCTCCTCCTCACTCTTTCTCATGGAGGCTGCCTATTGGAATGGTTTGGGAAATTTTGACCTGATCCCTCAATTCAACTTTGGGATTTAAAACAGAACACACACAAAAAAACTTCTTATTTACCTCCTAGGGAAAGGGTTGCCCTTATGCCACATGTAATAGCAAATTGCTTTTTTTATGGCGTGCATAACCTAGATGGGAAAAAATATGGTGCTTCGGGGAAGGAGGGGAAAAGTAAATGAAGTTCCAGGAATGTCATTCTGAAGTAATGAGGCATGGACAGGAAATATACCCCTCACATCATCGGATTGAGATGGCAGTCGAAATAGCTTCATTGAAGTGTCAGCACTCATCCATCAATCAATCACCCACAAGGAAAAATAGCAACAGTACAACGGGGCGGCTTTTATGGGATTTACTCATGGGCATAGGGAATAGCGGCTCAAATGTAGTTCTGACATGAAAAGCAAGGTGCTGATATTATTTTTTATGATGGGAGGATCATAAAGTGAATTGAGAACAGCGAGGTCTGTCTTTGCTTAACCTATTCAACCAGAAATGAATGGAGCTCAACTGGAAAGGAACAGTCTTCGGATGGGTTGAGATTGAAGGGTGGACTCTACCGAGCACCGTCCTTCACCAACAAAATTCTATTAAAAGAAAACCCGGGGGGTGGCCCTGTGGCTCAAAGGGGTAGGGCGCTGGCCCCATATGCTGGAGGTGGTGGGTTCAAACCCAGCCCTGGCCAGAAACTGCAAAAAAAAAAAAAAAAAAAAAAAAAAAAAATAAAAAAAAAAAAAAAAAAAAAAAAAAAAGAAAACCCGTGCATTAGCATGGGGGAAGGGGGAGGATTCTTAAAGCTGTTAAAAAATGGCCTGCTCCTGTCCAGTCTTACCAGGTAAAGTTACAGAACTGAGATCCTACCGCAACTGCCCAAAAGCAAATTCTTAAGCTCTTGCTCCAGCCAGGGGGGAAACAATACAATTCTCAACTCCATGGAAATTGTTTCCTTCGAAGAGAGAAAAAATAAATCATCTGCTTCAGCGTATAATCTATATGGTTTTGTTAGTGCAGTTTCTATGGTGGGGTAGGGTGGGAGGCAAGAGGCAAGAACACTGATAAATTTGGTAAGATTCCTGAATCGTCACTTGGCAACCATGAATGTCACTGCTGAGGGGAAGGCTGCTAATGTTCTCCTTAGAAACCCCCGTCTGGGCTGGCACTGTGACATGCACACAGCTCTCACTATATTCCTAGAGACCTGGCCTGTCTTCATTTGGCAAGCCCTGTGAGTCTTCTAGAAACTTCTTTCTGGAGGAAAAACACTCAAAACATGAACTTGGGAGAATGTTTTTAAATTCCCTTTGTACTACCGCCTGCCTTTCTCTGAATAAAATGCAGTTCTGCTAAGTTAGGACTTTGGAATCAGAAAGAAAGAATGACATGCAAATATGCAAATTACCTTTGAGTAGCTCCATCCTGCCACCACTTGGGACCAGTGAGAGAGATGACCTTTTGCCTCCCTAGCCTTCCTTCCAGCGAAGGCCACCAACCAGCTGCAAATTGAAATGTCCATTCAAAAAATTATATGTAAAATTTAAACTTTATGGATTTGGCCCCATTTTGGAGTACAGCAAATCCCCCAAATGTACACTCTGTAGCAAACCCTGGGGGCACGAAGCACAACAGGAAACACCATTTATTTAGAAAATCCATTTAACAATAGCATTGGGCCCCTACTGTGTGTGGACAAGGGACACTTCTAGGCACCCAGAGAGGCGGCAGTGAACATTTCACATGAGTCTCAGCCTTCCTGTTGTTTCCAGGAGCTCCCCAAAGTAGCTGACACCGAGACATCTGAGCGGCAGGGTTTACAAAGAGTCAAAATAATCATATTTCAGAATAAGGAATTTTCCTTCTGAAAAGCATAGAGGGAGGAAATGGCTTAAAAATAGGTCAAGACCTGAAGACAGAATATAATCACGGAATAAATTGGATAGCCCAGATAGTCCCCGCAGGATTTTTTTCAGGTCACAAATGGATTTCTTAAAACTCGCCCCCCAAATGTGCCTGTTCTGTTGTTTGAATCTTGCATAATTAATCTCATATGCACCAAAACACTGAACTTAGTGGAGACGCAGAAAACAAAGGCAGCGACTATTTGGGAAGAATTCATGAAACTCTGGTTTAAGGCACGAAGAGGTGCGTGTGAAGACCGTTTGGGTGTCTGTGTATATATGTGAATTTCACTGTTATTTTCCAGGGTTTGTGGGCCGTACGGCGGTTAGGAGTCTGTGCTATTCTGAAACTTTTCCCTGTAAAATCCAAAGATCACGGGTCTTACCAGGTGCTTTCATTCTCTGGCTTTCCCATCTGTCACTTCCCCGGTTATCCGACTGCGTTCAAACCTTTTCTTTTTCATCAAGTTTCATGTTTTAAGCTTGTTACATATTTTTGTTTTTTTTTTTTTAAAAAAAACCATAAAAAATGTCATTTTCACATTATCCTTTCTTCTCTGCAACCAGAATAGTCATGGGTAGATGAACACTAAAATAATAACAAAAAGCAAATATATTGAAGGCTTTAAGACACACACACATACACACGTGTAGTTCTAAAGAGTAATAAAAGTGGTATCTATTTTGAACATGCATTAGGAAAAAAAAAAAAAAACCTGAACTTTCGGTTTATTTTTTCCCCCATGAGATGTTAAAATGCTAATTTCATTTTCTCCCTTCCTTTATGTGACACTTTCTCAAAATATCTGTGAAATACTTTTAGACAAAGATTGAGTTGGAGAAAGAGATACAGATTTCCATCCCCCCAGACAGAGAAACATGTTTCCATTGTAGGAAAGCATTAAACATTTTGAAACTTGTGAATCATCTTTAGAATTTCTACAGGCGAATTTTACCTCTTCCTCCAAAGTAAAAGCCACTTATCTCCTTTGGTTCCCTGTGACAGATTCAGAAGCATATACACAGATATACAATTTCCAGGCTCTAGTTAATCTTCTTCCAATAGTTAGGAACAATGGGCTAACGGGCGTGGGTGTTTCTCCAAAAATTATTCATGCGCAAGGCAGCCCAAGCTTCAGGGAAAACTAGAAATGTTTTATGGATTAGAATAGGACTGTTTTAAAATGCTGGTACCAGGTGGAACGCTATTTCTGCAACAGGATTCTGCCCATTTCCTTTGGAAAAATATATTCCAAGTAAAATGGCTCTTCCAAGGAACGACACCCTTTGACATACGGATGATTTTCCCAATCGCCATATGATTATCATTAAGGCCTTTTAAAACACAGGCAGTTCGAAAAAGACAAATCAAATCCTTGCAGCCCTTTGGATCGTGTTGATTTGCTTAAAACAGCTTTTGGAAATGCAAGTAATCACTTTCGGGTGAAAACCCCCAGGGGAAGTTGAAAAATTTGAACAAATGCATGATTAAAAAAAAAAAAAACCTAACCACGCCCCTCATCCCCCTTAGAAAATACATCCAGTGTGTTCACTGCATTATCTTGAACCTGAAACCTGCATTTGGATATCAGTCCCCAGGCACAGACTAATGTTAGCAGAACTTGAACAATCGTATGCTTATGTCCCAAAAGCAAAGACTTCGTGCAGCAATACTTTCCCTTTCTAAATGAGCCCTGTAACATTCAGGAATTATAAATGGGTATGTATATTTTTTAAGTACACAAAGTTCAACCGGTCTACAGAGAAATAGAAACTGTGCCCAGTCTGCATTGAGAGAAAGACTAAAGAAACATT